TATTAAATATATAAAATATATAAATTATTTCTGGTTATTTCAGCTCCACTGTTTCTTCCTCCGCCGGCTTCCACCGCACCTCCATCGGCTCCAGAGGCTCCGGGCGGCTCGGTGAGACCTCCAGCCGGCTCTCCGCTCTCCTCCAGCGGCCTCACCCCCGGCTCTCTCCCCCGGAGCTCCGTGCGTAACGGATCCGTGCCAAACACGGAGGCTGCGCGCTTTTGTCCCGGGAGACAGAGGAGAAGAAAGGAGGGAAAATCCGGGAATAATAGCAGATTTGCAAATGTTTTTTCAATTGATTTGACTCAATGAACGCGGGATTTTCTTTCTCCCTCTCTCTCTTTCTTTCTTTCTTTCTTTCTGAGGAGAGTTTGGCTGCAGCCGCCACGCATGCGGACCGAGCGGGAGTTTATTAATGGAGAGCCGGGTCTTTATTGAAGGAGGGACACGCTTTAATGAGCTTTTTACAACAAAAAGCCCTCAGTGAGTGTGTCCCGGTGTCCTCTCCGCCTTTATACCCGCTCTATACAACCAATAAGAAACACTTTAGTCCCCAAAAGACGACGGGAAGTCAGGAGGCGGAGGGAGCGGCAGGTGACTGGCACGCGTAAAGACAAGAGGACAACAGGAGGAGAGACAGAGGAGAGCGGAGAGAGAGTCCGGTGGATGAAGTGAGGATGAAGAGGAGGTGAATGGAGAGGAGGAGGAGGAGGTGGTGGGAATGAGCCCAAATGGCGCACTAATATTGTTCCGCTAATATGATTAGTGGCTGCGCTGCGGCCTCATTAGTATTCATGCTCATAATCCTCCTTTAATAATCCCGCTGCTGCTGTCAGCTGAATCAAACGCTCCCTCTTCTTCTTGTTCACGGCTTCTTTTTATTTCTGCAGCTTGACGCCGTTTTCTCACCGCTCTTCATCATCTTCATCATCTTCATCACCACCGTGTAAAGAACTGATATCTGTTAATGGATCAAACAGTTAAATGATCTTTTATAAATAATAATATCTTAATATTTAATAAATGAAACACTGATTTATATCATTTGTGTTGAGTTACAGTGTTTAAAGTGTAATTGATTCAATCATTAATTCCAGATTGTTCCAGTGACTCATTTTATTAAAGTTAAAGTTATATAATGTATATATATAATGTGAACAGTGCTGGAAGGATATTTACATTATTGTTTATATTTCAGTTTTTAATGAAAAAACAAAAACATCCAAAGTGTAAAAATGTTAATAAAAATAAGAATTGTAAATTGTATTTATAATATAATATAATATAATATAATATAATATAATATAATATAATATATAATTGTATTGTTTAATTACAGCTCTGAAATTCAATAAGTTATTTTAACTCTTTAAGTCATTTTTAGGTATTTTGGTTTTCACAGCACAAATAAAAATGACTAAAGTTACTTGATAATTTTTTTTTTAACTCAACTTTAAATGTTTCAACTGAGTTAAATTAAATAATCAATGAGAAACATAATTGATCCACAATCATTAAATTAATGAATTCATATTAAAATGTAATGTTTGTGTATTTAAGTGTGAACAGATTTTTAGTTTAGAGAAATAGTGAATGAATGAGTTATATCTATCTATATCTTTATCTATATATATAGATACAGATATAAATATTATATTATTATAGATATTTACTAGTTTTAGGTTCAGTTAAATTAATTCACCTCAACAATAAACATTTGAGTTAAATATTTGTTCAGGTTTATTTGAGTTGATTCAGTTGAACTGACTAATCAATAATTAATAAGATAAAATAAATCAATGTTTGATAATATTATGTTTTTATTGAACTTAAAGGTTTTATGAAGCAGGTGAACCAGTCAGTGAGTGAATCAATCAGTCAGTGAGTTAATCAATCAGCTCTGATGGAGCGGAACTAATTGATGATGAGTTTGATTGACAGGTTGATTAAATGAGTGAGAGAGGAAGAGGAAGAGGAAGAGTTCGGCTCGTTCACAGCAGGAACAGGACGAGAGTGTAAAGAGTTAAAGTAAATCTGCTGATTATTGACCCATTAATCTGCTGAGTATTGATCCATTAGTCTGCTGATTATTGATCCATTAATCTGCTGGTTATTGATCCATTAATCTGCTGATTATTGATCCATTAATCTGCTGATTATTGATCCATTAATCTGCTGATTATTGATTTGTAATTGTTGAGAACGTGAGAAATCTCTTCACAAGTTCAAACGTCTTCACATTCTGAAAAATGACTTGAATTGATTTTCTATCAATAGATTAATTGATTAATCGACTGATTGAGACAAATTGTTAGAACTGATCGGATTCAGGAGATGTTGTTGTTTGTTTTTATCTTTATGTCTGAAACACCTGGAAGACGGAACTGGATGGAACCGGACGGAACCGGACAGAACCGGCCCCAAGAGGAGAGGAATAGATCCACGCGGGTCCAACTTGGACTTAATGCTGCTGCTCCAGTTCTACAGAGACCGGCTCCATCGAGACCCGGATCCTCCACAGACGGACTGTTGATGATACTGGGAGGGTCTTTCTATCGGCTGTTTACAACCAGACACACAACAGATCCACCATGTTTTTATATTAATAACTATATATAGGTTCTGTGTTCTGTGGAGGATCTACAGGCTTCCATACTTTATGTTCCTTCATCTCGTCTCACACCGACTGTAACACTCTTCCTCCTCACTCATCTTCTGCAGGTAATCCAGAACCTGTAGATCTGCTCCCTGCTGCCCACTGTACGATCCAGATCCAGATCCAGATCCAGATCCAGGATCCTGTATCTGTACCCGCTCTCAGACCTGCTCCGTCTGCAGGTTGCTGCAACCAGTGGAGCTGATCGAGCTGATCGATCCACTGATACCGATTATCAGTGATCAGGGAAAGAGATTTTTAATAAAAAGTACATTTACTCGAGTACATTTTATCCTACTTTATACTTTTTACTACATTCATTTAATTTTTAGTTACTTTGCAGATTCACATTAACAATACAAAATATAATGAACTAATAAATGATTATTGATTAAGTTACGCAGCATCATCAGGCTCAATAACTCCACCGACTCTGGGAGCAGGAACTCTGATACCAACAACCAAAGGGACCAAATCCTCCACCCACCTGGGTCCTTTCAGACCACATTACAGAGAAACCCTCCACCCCTCCACCCCTCCACCCCATATAATTGATCTCTCCGTACGGCACCGCACTCAGCTGTCCACATACTTTTGGCCGTGCAGGTTGACTGAGACAGTTTATTACTCCTGTTGGTCCCAAAGCATCATGGGAAACATTTGGACTGGATCCAGATCCCCATTACTTTAATGTTTAATCAGGTCACACACACACACACACACACACACACACACACACACACAGAGTTCATCTGTACTTACAGAGCTCCTTCCTGTACTTTATGACCACACACACACACACTCTCTAAGGAGAGAATTAATTTTATTTTAGTAAATGCAGTGCGATGGTCTCTAGTACAGTGATGAATCAAATTTTTCATGTCTAGTTAGGTGAGTTTATCTACTAGTCATCTTCTGATTTTAAAGGATGCGGAACTAATTGAATGATGATTTTTTTTGATTGACGAAGGTATTTAAGTTTTCAAGTGAGTTGACCCAGAGTAGAAGTTACAGTACAGAGAGAACACGAGTTACTGGAAACTCGGTCATCTACAGACCTTATTATTAGCAGGTAAACAAATTCTTTAATTAGCACCACCTGTGTTTACCGGCTATCATAGAGCTGTATAGGATGCTAAAAAGTGGACTAGCTGCTGTTGTGAGGAATATAAAGGTCTGAAACCCCACAATTTCAATCCTGAAATTCATGCTGCAGTTATTCATGAATTTCCATTATAGGTTCTTTGATTGTATTTGATACCAGATTTAAATCTTGTTGTGTTTATAATGTGCACGAGTATCCATCTAGTTATCTTTGTCTGACAAGGTTTATTTGTAATTTCCATATAACCATACTTAGAGCCAATGATTATAATGTGATTTCCATTATTAATCTTGCTGTCCTATTTGATCTAATGTAATTGACTTATTGATACTTATAGTAAAGATCACTATTCCATCTTAATTCATTTTATTCAAGCTGTCACAGACATATTCGACTATTCCACTATTCTATGAAAAAATTGACTTAGAAAAAAAAAAAGAAAAATAAAAAATAAAATAATATTTTAGGAAAGAGAGAAATTTTAAGGACAATATTTGACTCAATTCAAAATAATAACAGATTTGATTAATACGAGAGTATATATACGACTGAATTGAGACCAAATTGTTAGAACTGAAATCTGGATATCAGGAGTATTATATGTTGTTTAGAGTTTAAGTCTTCTTAATCATAACCATAATATGCATAAAAACTATAAGCAGGCACTAGATGAAACAGAGACAAAACTGAATAGAGATTCCTAGAGAGAAAGGTAACTTGAGAAAACAGTGAACCGAGCCCTAACAGACGAAGAAGAATAGACATTAGATGCGCAATCGTGTGTATAGCGGATTCAACTTGGACTTGTTAAAAATAGTTGCGTGTCTATCCAGTTCTACAGAACATATGGTGCTCTCATCGAGACCCTCGGAATCCTTTCCACAGAAAAATGAGAAGTACAAAACAAAATACTCGACAGATAATTGAGTAAACGAGACAGCTTGGGTAATGTGTACTAAACAATTCTAAAAATCCGAGTTCAAGGTCTTTCGCATTCCGTGCAGTAGTTCCTTACCAATACAAAAACCTACAACAACATCTGAAGACTCCACTTATTCAAGTTTCTTTATAATATTTAGAATAAACATAATAGATAATAAATAAGTTAAAGTCAGTGAAACCTTGACGGGCCCAACCAGTGTGAGGACTTTAAAACCTGGTCCTGGTCTGCACTTCGATTTTTAACTTTAAAATGGTTTTAGTTTTTATATAGGTCTTCCCAATGTGATTCAGCGTTGTGTAGATACAGAGGCTGATCAGTATCTATTTAATGTTCACATCTTCAGTCTTCTATATGCTTTGGTCCTGGAGTGTTCCGTTTAAACCCGTCGTGAAGCGTGAAATCTCAACACATCACCAACATAACAACCAGAACTGTAACAAGTCCCATCCATTTTAAAGGAACTCATCTCTTCAGCATTTACTATTCTCCTACTAGCAGCTGAATCCTGCCTAGCTCACCCTGTTAGAGTAAATTCCATGAGAGACCTGCTGCCCAACCTGTATGAATCCAGATCCAGATATCAGATCCAGATCCAGGGATCCTGTATGATCTCGTACCTATTACGCTCTCAAAGACCTATGCCTCTCAGTTCTGACAGGTTGCCTTTGACAACCAGTGGACTGAATCGAGCTGATCTGTAGTATTTCCAACTGATTAACCGATTATGTTACAGTGATCATGGGAAAGAGATTATTTATTAATAAAAAGTCATTTTAGCTATGTAGTACTAATTTTAATCCCCTACTTTGAATCATTTTTTACCTACATTGTGTGTCAATATATAGTATTAAATTTTAGTTATACTTTGCGATTCACATTAAAATACAATAAATATAATGAAATAATAATGATTTTATGATTAAGTTTTGCGCATGAGCAATGTCATCGAGCTCAATAATTGTACCACCTGACTTATTGGGAGCAGGAATTACTGTAATACCAACAACCAAGAGAGGACCTAAAATCCGTCCTACACCACTGTACTGGGTCCTTTCAGCCACATTTACAAAGAGATAACCCCTTGCTCACCCATCCACCCCTTGCCACCTATATGTCCAGTAATATGTTAGAATCTCTCCGTACGGCACCTGTATAGTCACTACAGCTGTTCCACTAATGATCTATGTATATTGTTATGTAGCCGTGCAGGTTGACTGAGACAGTTTAATGTTATACTCCCTCTGTGGATTCCCAAAAGCATCATTGTGGGTAAAACATTATGGACCTGGATACAGATTCCCCAGTATACTTATTAATGTGTTTAATAATCCAGGGATTCTAACACCACGACACACAACACACACAACACTACAACACACACTACACATGGAGTTCATCTGTAACTTATGTATAAATACAAGTAAGCCTCCTTCCTGTTACTTGTATTTAATGACCAACACACACACTCTCTCTCTCTCCACTATGTATCACTGTCACTCACTCACTCACTCTCACACAAACACACGACACACCACACTAACTACAACACACACACACATCACGACACCACTGCCATGATAACGTGGAGTACTGTCATTCTTATGTTGTTTCCTTGTACACTTCCCAATCTTCATCTCATTCTATGTATTCAACCAATAAAAGTTCTGTTTCTATGTTTCCCATATGTCAGATATTTGATCAATACTGTCTTATTGATACATTTGTCATGTTGATCTGTCGGTTATATTGATAGGAGGATAAATGTATTATATGTATAAATATGTATATATATGAATAGTAAGTAGTATGTAATATAAATATGTATGTATATTATATATGTGTATATTATAATGTATGTATATGTATATATGATATATATATGGTTATGGTATATGATATATATGTATATATATGGTATACTATATGTATTTATGTATATAATATGTATATATATATGTATGTATATGTAAAATATATTATATATATGTATGTATATGTATTACTATGTATATATATGTATGTATATGTATATTGTATAATATGTATTAATATGTATATATTATGTATATGTATATTATGTATGTATAATGTAATAGTATTGTATACTATGTATGTATAATGTTATTGTATAATATATATGTATGTATTATGTATGTATATGTATATATGTATGTAAATATGGTATATGTATGTATATATATGTATAAACAGAAAACAGATGATGATTAAGTAATCTAACAGTAGGGATATTAGTGGAATGTATCTCAGACTTTACCCAGAATCTTTAGGTATGAATAATGAGCAGCGTTCTGTTTTGTTCTGGGCGGTATGGTTAATTACAGTCCCACATAGACCGTCAGATACATTCTATGCGTTAAAGTTTGTCTTCTAGCTGCGAACCAAATCCTTTCTCAGTGTGGTCGACTCCGCGGCTCCCGGTGATCACAACAGGTTGAAGAGGCCACCGCCCCTTAATTCTGTATAAACTTTAATCCCTCATAATAAAATTACCAGGTGGAGTCATGAACAGGAAAATAAACATAAAGAGATGTTTATTTCTTGCTGTTGGACATTAAGATGGAGCCAGCCTCTAGTGGCGTTAGGGACATAGGACAGTTGAGGTACGGAGGTTGCTGATTGGTTCTCATACTCACACGCAGAATCTTTTCTTTGTTTTGTGGCACCAAAACATGGACATACGCTGGTTGCCTAGCAACATCACATTCACGCAAGACTCCAGGAAGTAGCTGCACCGGTCTGGACTTATGATATTATATATTATTATATTATTTATCATATTATATTTAATGGATCATAACATACATCGTGGGTGCCATTACTGTGTGACTCTACTGTAAAATATATCTTAATGCTTACCTCTTCTCTCACCAGTAATTCAGGTATCCACACTCTCCCTCAGTCACAGACCAGCATAGTGTCTATGTATCATATACTCACCTTATAGTGACCGATGCAGTCAAGTTGATGTAGAGTTACTGTCTAGAGGCGGATTTGATCGTGTGGTGCGAACTTTACTTATTGTTTATCAGGTTTGTCCTAAAGATCAGAATTGACATGCAGATCTCAGAGTCAGTTTTTAATCGGAACACAATCTCAACTGTAATCTTCAATGAACTGGGCCTGCGACGAGACAGTATTGATATGACAGAAACAAGAATAAAAGATCTCACACCTACACTCTTCGCTATTGCGTTAACAGTTCTCCAGTAGCATTAGGCCCTCTGTAAGCGAAATAGTTTAGAGAAAATCGATCTACTAAAAATCCTTCCTCCCTCCACCATCTTATAAAGCGCCAGCACACACACAACTCAGTAAAAAACTACTTAATCAGGAGTTTCTGTAACTACTATAATCCGAATTGTCTGTCAATTACTAGACCCTATACATATGTCTTGTACGAGCTCAATAAAACCATATTCAGCCTAATCTCATATCAATCAATAATCTATCCTACGTTCTCTGAATGCTGGCTACTTTGTGGTTCCCTAATAGTCTCATAAAAGTAGAACAGGAGCCAGAGCCTTCCAGTTCCAGATAGGCCTCCTCGTCCTATGTGAACCTAGCTATCCAGTTTGTGGTTACAGGAGAGGTAACAAAGCTATCCAACAGTGTGTTTCAAACCCTAAAACCCCTACAAAGTCTTACAGCATATTTGATAAGACATGGTAGGTCCAAAGTCTTGTAAGCACATTTTCTCTTTACGAATAATATCGCATTTTATTTATCCCATTAATGGAGAAACGTGATCACTGGCTTGCGAAGCCGTAGACTATACCATCTGTAGAGCGCGATATTCCTTCATATAGTATCGACATATGCAATCAATATGAGCCTAGATTAATCGGTATACATACATATACATAGGAGGCATTTCCCATGGTGCACTGTAGCTTCATCTTCTATTCATCTCCACATATAATATAACAATCTTTCTGCACTCCATTCTATAGGTACCCATATAATTCACAAATGTTACTTACATATAACTTATCACTTCTTCCCCGGAGTTCTTGTGCTTTTTAATCCATAGTCATATAACCTGAGCACAGAGTTCTCAATGGATCCCAGGTGGAGCCAATCCCTGCCATAGGTTCCTGCTAGACTTGCCCATTTGCTAATATCACTGAGAATTATCGTTATTATTACATTTAAGTCATTTGTATGAGTATATTTTGTTGCTTGCGGTATGCTGTTGTCGCTGCCGCTGTCCCCTGTCGTTGCCATCAGCTATCACCTTAGTTCACCGTCACCGCGAGATACCTTATATTATCTAATGATTCGTATCGATCCATTAACTGTATAATCAGTTGTTGCTTCTGTTGTTGCTGTAATCTTTTGTCTCTCTGTCCTCTGTCTCTATCTATTGTCTCCCCATCCTCATTACTCTATCCATGTACTCCTCTCATCTCTCTCGTCTCTCTCTATTATCACTCGCACCATATCAACAATTGACTCTAATCGGCAGATAGATCATAACACACTCACTAGAGCCCGAAGGGTCTGTCCGAGGTTTCTGCCCGTTAAAAGGCAGTTCTTTATCCTTGTCCATACCCGTTCAGCCAAGCATATATACATGCTTGATGCTATCATGGTATGGTACTAGTTTGAGGTCTCTGTAAATGTCTATATATATAGGATCGGTTATATGACCCATATATTGCTTCCATATTGACAAGTAAAGTGTACCTGAGATATACTATCTCTGAGTTTAAATGATAATTTAGAGAGTGAGCGCTTATATATATCCAAAATAAAACTTGAATTGAATTGGAACCATTTAATTATTGAATATATATATACACATTATGATATATTATACATACATATATTAATATATGTACATCATAATATTTATAGTACATTACTAATATATACACATATGTATATACTAGGTAATATGTATATGTATATATGTATACCCTATATGTATACACTATATATGTATATATATCATGTATACTGTATATATTATGTATATGTTATAATACGTTGTGTACTCACTATATATATATATCATATATGTGTATTATATTTTATGTGTATAATTGTGTATATATATGTATGTGTAATATATGTGTATAATATAAATGTATGTTAATATGTGTATATATATGTTGTTATATATGTGTATAATATATGTATGTGTATATATGTGTATATATGTGTATATATGTATATAATGTATATAAAAAAAAAAATGTTATATAATGTATATATATGTATATATATGTACTATGTATATATGTTAATATATTTTGTATATTGTATATATGTATATATGTGTAATATATGTATATATGTATATATATATATATTGTATATGTTATATATATGTATATTATGTATGTAATATATACTAATGTATGTATATTGTAAGTATATATAATGTTGATATATATATGTATATATATGTGTTATATATATGTATATGTATATTTGTATATTATGTATATATGTTTTTAATCAGTGTTGTCGTCCAAAGTGATTCACGTTCTCCCAGTTATGGAAAATGGATTTGTTTTGTACATGAACACAGTCACATACGAAAACTTGTGTGTGTTAGTTTGAACAACGACTGTTGGAAAAGCATTTAATATGTTTATATTATACTTATATATATATACGCAAGACGTAATGGTTTTAAATACGATTTTATCGAAACTTTTACAGTAACCCAAACTCAGTTTTAGCGTTCACTCCTGATTTACCTCACGTTTTTTTACTGGGTTGTGTGTCGGTGCCGCGTGTTAATGTGTGTGTGTGTCTCATCGGCATGCGTCTCCTTCATGTCCTGACATGAGAAGTGGGATTTATTCATTTATTCATGTTCCCAGGTTCAGACCCAGATTGGTCCGACCTGACCAGTTCTGATGTCAATCTGTCATTAAGACATTACTCGTAATCACAACACAACACACATCACTCCTCCTCACTGACCTCCAGGGAGCAATGGAACAACAGCACTGAGGCGAAGGAAGAACAGTGAGGAAGAGGAGCATTAGATATTTAATGTTCGCCACTCTCAACCACCGAGCGTCAACTCTTTACGATCCATAAACTAGATAATTGATAAATAATATAATAATATCATAATATCATAAGTCGTCCAGCACCGGGTGCAGCTACTTCCTGAGTCTTGTCGTGAATGTGATGTTGGCTAAGGCAACCCCAGCGTATGTCCATGTTTTTGGTGGCACAAAAACACAACCAGAAAGATTTCCTGCGTGTGAGTTGAGAACCCCCAATCAGCAACCTCCCGTACCCCTTCACCACACCCTGCAGGTTCCACCCTAAACGGCCCACTAGAGGCTGGCTCCATTCTAACCTGCTCCCACAACAGCAGAAATCACACCAACATCTCTCTTTATCTTATTTTCCTGTTCATGACTCACCCTGGTTAATTATATGAAGGATTGAAACGTTACTCCCAGAATTACAGGGCGTGGACCTCTTCAACCATTGTTGGTTCACCGGGAGCCGCGCGCAGTCGACCAACAGCTGAGAAAGATTTGGTCCGTAGAAAGACAAACTGAGATATGTCGGGACTGTAAACCTCCGCCCCAGGAACAGAACGCTGCACTTCATCTAAAGGGATTCTGGGGTAAAAGGCTGAGACTCGACCCATCGCCTGTAGATCATTTATCTGTTTCTCTGTTCTTCCTTCCGCATTCCATTAACCAGCAGATAAATCAGACAGTTATTGATCAATAAGACAGTTATTGATCAATAAACTGACATTGGAACAGAAACAGACTTTTATTGTGATAGAGAGATGTAAGATGGAAGATGAACAGGAAACAACAAGAACTGAAGAACTCCACTGTTACTGGCAAGATGTGTTGTGTGTGTGGTGTGTGTGTGTGTGTGTGTGTGTGTGTGTGTGAGAGTGAGTGAAGTGAGTGAAGTGAGTGAGAG